AATAGACCAACATCAGGAATTACCATCGAGTGATCAAGGCGGCTTTTCTAAGGTTTCATAGTATTCGTAATTTTGTTCCCGATATAGTATCAATTTTACTATATACAAGGCTTTTCATGATGATGCGCCATAAGGGTTTGCCCAGCTAACGTTAAAAACTCTGCGGAATTTTACAAAATTAAGCAACGTCTCTTGTGGATATCATTCCAACAAAACCATTTCGATTTGAAGTAATACGGTGATATTCTGCCAACATTGCTCTAATAAATGCTACAACGACGACGTATTTTTTTATGAGACTTCCTTTCGTAACTCATACAAAGTTCGACGGTAACTTAAAGTCGCACACCGCAGGTTGACACGCTTGAAATAATCCAATGTGCGTGTCATCATTATAAATATTCGTGACTGAGAAAAAAGATACGACTGGTAATGGCAAACGAGAAAAGGAAACTCTTCAAACTTTTCAGTTTTCCTATTATTCACATATCAACCTTTTAGAACATCTGCAATAAGGTTTCTGAAGCATATGTTTCTGCCGGTTTGCCTTCTGCCTCAGTAAAGGCTATGGTTGCCTTCTTTTCAAACAGATTGAATTGTGAATGTTAGATCTTACTGATCTTACAAGGTTGTGGGCCAATTTGGTTTTAGATCTTACTTAAGTAAGTCTTCTACTCCGAGGAGGTGCTTTTTTTTTATTTAAGCTGAATCATTTTTTACCGATATTAGCGGTTGTATGCGCCAGAAAACAATTAAGTTCTTTAAAAAGTACTTGCCGATTTATAATAGGTCTTCCATTCATCCTTTGTGTTCTTTGACGTACGCAAAATTTTTCAAGACTGACTCACTGTAAACAAACAAAACAGGAATTAATGCAGAAGTCATTGCGAGTTTTCCCTGAGGAGTTTACCTCTCAAAAAAATTTTGATTGCCTTCCAGAGGAAAAAATGTTAAGTTTTGGAAATGTAGGAGTAAGTAATGAATTTGGGGATTTCTTACGAAAAAACACACTTTAGGTTTATTTTCAAACGTGAAGCATCTTTTTTGGTAAACAAAACATAAAAGAAATT